CCCCCCCCCCCCCATCCGCCACCCAAACTCCGTGATTCCCTTTTTTTTTTTTTTTCAGTCACGATATGGCGGAGTTTTACCCTTCTGACAACGTGCTGATACGGGGATATCGCCCTCGTGGGTACGTCATGGTGGTGTCAACGTCGTACTGGAGACCCGTGTGGACATGTGGATGTTCTCTCTTTCTTTCTTTCATCCTTTCGTTGGTCCCCTGCGTAATTGCGACGACGTCTCCGTCATTGCCTTTTTTTTTTTTTTTTCAGTCACGATATGGCGACATTTTTCGCTTCTGACTTAGAGGTGAATCGGGGATGTCGTCCTTGTGGTGACGTGATCGTGGTGTTAATGTCGTGCTGAAGGAAGGCACCTTGCGCGGATGTGTGCGTGTTTTGTTTATTTATTTCTTCCATCCTTTCGTTGGTCCACTGCCCAATTGCGACGACGTCTCCGTGCTTGCCTTTTTCGATTTATTTTTTTTGAGTCACGATATGGCGATCTATTGCCCTTCTGGCTTACAGCTAGAACGGGGATGTCGTCCTCGTGGTGACGTGATCGTGGTGTTAATGTCGTGCTGAAGGAAGGCACCTTTTGTGATCTGTGTCCATGTGTTGTTTTCCTCTCTTCCATCCTTTCGTTGGTCCACTGCCCTATTGCGAGAACGTCCGAGGTGTTGAGATTGGTGAAGACGGATGGTCGAGCGCCAGCTGCCCTTACTCGTTTTCAATTGTGTTCCCTTCGTGTCGGTGTATTTTCCTCGGTGTATTCTCACCCACTCGCGCTCGAAGATGATTTCTTTTCCACGCCACGGCGGCCAACGAGGCACCCTGTCGTCGTGTTCTCTGCCGCGTCGGGTTCAACTGTTCGTGTTTTTGTCCTTGCCCGCCCTGATTTATGTAATGATTGCGTATTTTTCATCCACGGTACCTGTTGATTCGGCTGTTCACTGTGGGATTGGTGTTGATCGATGATGACGTGACGACGCCAAGCGGACGGGCCGCTCCAGCGTTATTCAATTGCTTGTCTTTCCAACAGAGTTTCCATTCGGATCCCTAGGTGCCCCCCCCCACACACACACACACACACACTCAACTCATACTTTCCCTTTGTATTTTGTTTTTTTTGGATCGTCGGGGTCTTGGCGGTTGACAAAGTGTTGTTCTCATGTTCGTGTGGACCACTCATCTATTTCGTGCGGTGCGGGGCTAGGATCTTTCCTGTGGTGGGACGGGGCAGGTTTACGCCGTGCAACAAGCGCACTAGCCATTCATGGGTTCGTGCACGTGTCCTTTTGTGACCCAGACGTGGCACTTTAGACTGATGTGTTGTTTTTTTGTTGCCCGCCTACGTTGACACGGGTCGTCGCTGTTCGGTGAGTTATTTCTTTGGTTGTTTGCGCCAGGGTGTTGGCGGTTTGTGTCTTGTTGGACAGCTCGATGTACAGCTGCTGTTGCAGTGAGTTCTTGCTTTTCTCGTTTCAGTCTTTATCCATCCGGGAGCTTTGCGCTACTCTTTCGGCGTCTACCATGGTTGAACAGCGGAGTACCAATCTTGCCGTGCCGTGGTGTTTGCTCGTAGGCATGGAATCGTCGAATGAGGGTGTAGAGCGTGTAACCCCACCCATCTCTGTTCGTCATGAGGTGGTTAGATGTACATTGTATTTTGTGGCGTGAGTTCACGGTTGCTGCGGTTGTTGTCAACTCAAAAGGGCACCAACGGTGAGGTCACGCCTCCAGAGTACAAGGTCTATCTAACTGCCATGGTTGAGGGGGGATGCTTGACCCTGAAAACGTTGCGAGCAAGACAGGGGCGTACGAGTAACCCCAAAATGACTGGGTGCGAGTGGAGGTTTGATTATTATTTAAATATCGAAGACAACGGACCCGATGCCGCCTTATTTGCACTGCAGTAGGCGGAGGAGTTTGTGTCCGGCTATTCTAGCCGGGGCACCAGTGCAACGCGTGTCACGCACAGGCACCGATTCTGCCTCGACATCCACGACAGGCTGCAGACTAGGCATCGATGAGAAGATAGCATGCCGCAAATGAAAAGATATAAAAAAGTTGTGTTGACCACAGCGTCGAATTCCTTAGCCCCACCTCAGTCACACGTAATACCGATCTCCCGCAACACTAAAAAGTCTATATCTAGCATCCACGCCTTGCCAGGCAGGACCACAGCCACAACAGGAACCTGTTGCCCTCGGAAAACCAACTTCTGCGCGAACTAGTGATAACCACGCTATTTGTCCAGGGCAATGCAACCCTATCGGCCCTGACACTGCTTTCTGCTCAGCCTGACGAACACCGTTTTCAAGCCTAACCCTCCCCGTGGAGGTATTCGTCGAGAGTTGGGGGCTGGAGGTCGAAGTACTGTGCCGTTGAGTTGGGGTAAAAGCAGTTGTGGCAGTTGGTAAGTATACCTGCAACAGCATACTGCTTTCCGAGGCCGCACGCGCTCAGACCTACTTGCTGCTTCTTGTGGTAGTCGACGTACGGCCAGAGAGCGACTATTCTACCGAACCCCCATTCCACCGTGACTCTCACACGACTCATGGCGGCGTTGAACTCGGCCTGGTCAGGGGTAAGCACACCCTTGAACGGAGCCTGAAGCCACGGAGAGACATGATAGGCCGGGTCTCCGTAGATGTAATACGGTTCACCCTCTGCGTCATTGAAAGAGTCCATCATTACCGCAAGCAACCCACTCTGCCCAAGCAGCGTTACATCGTGACGGCGACCGAGCATCGGCCCCCAAAGCTGCCTAATAATACCATCCGGGGTATCGACTGCCTGGTACTTCAAGGCGTGAAGGCGTTTCCAACCGTTGTAATAGAGTCGTTGCCAACGCCTAGGTCTGCATATTTTACGAATCGTCCCGTCTATAAACGCCCAACACCGATCAAGAGGCGCGCCGCACTCTTGTATCGCCTCGCAGAAGGAGTCAATCTTAGGAAGAATCGCGTCTACCTGCAGCTCATCCACGAGATGCCCCCACCGCTCGTAAATTGCCTCCACCGTCACGTTGAAAACTTCACACACAAGCGTCTCGCCCATCCCCCAAAATAAACGATCTCGAAGCAACGTGGTGGGAGCAGCCAGTCTCCATAGGGTGACTGCTAACCCCAGTCGTGCCGGGATACGCTGGCAGGAATACCCCCCCCTGCACGCAAGCGAACGTCGTAGACACGCGCATGGATGGAACGATTCATGGTGGGTTCTTTCGGTCATGACCCTGAGAGTTACAATGTTGGACGCCACCGCGATAAGTTTGAGGTCGTTTCGCACCGAAGATTTGACACAAGACTGCAAACCGACACAAAGTAGACTACTGTACGTGTTTAAGGGAGTAGGAGACGCGAAAAATTCGAATTGTATTCAAAAAAAGAAGGGGTCTGCACCAGCAGCAGATGAAGTTAAACAGCATGACCTCATCTACTGTTGTTCTAGAGGGGGTTATAACACCTACCTTTCCCAACACCCCTGCTATGCACGTTTCCTAGTGGTCGATTCTAATCCTGAACTTTGTTCGTATCCACTCGGCCTCCACAGGTCTCGCTGCCTCGCTGCTGCTGTGTATGTGATTTCTTGCTACAAGCAGCAAGAGGCCCTTGTGTTCTCACCTCCAGATTTCCAGTTCAGCTGGAAGCTCCAGCGCTGCCAAAAGCAGAAGGAAGTGAGGCTTCTCGAACCGAAACAGCTCCTTGAAGTCAAACCCACCCAGGACCTCAAAGAAGTCGTACCTCACCCCGTCTAGCACGGTCGGCCTAACGAGCTCCTCGTAAGCGCGCCATTTCAGCAACCAAAGCGCTCCCAGCACTAGGCACATATCCTCCTCGCCAAGCACACTGCATGCTAAGCAGAGCATGAGAATGCGCACGCATTCTGCATGCCGTGCATGGCCCAGCTTTGCTCTGTGTAGACGTGCCATCGTCCGTAGATCACGCGCCGGTGTGGACGAAGGTTCCACAACCGCTCCGTGTGTGACTTTGGAAGCAAGGGGGAGTAGGGGCTCCGTCTTGAAAACCGTTTTTGTTTTCTGAACAGGCACCGGTTTTGCCGTGTGCGCAACCGGGTTTTACGAACAGGCACTTCGCCCAACTGGAAATTGTCCAACCGGGTTTTACAACTGGATTTTATAGGGGAAACCCCGTATTGGAGCGGTTTTTCCGTACCCCCTGTGCCAAAGACTACGGCCCGTGCGGTGTAGCCGATCCGTACCATAACGACCCGCATTCCTGTGATTGTCTTCAACACGTGGACAACAATCAATCAATCTCATCGATCGCACCCGTATCGCCCGACCGACATTATTACGACACTTCTGTTATACACCCCGCCTTTGGCTGGAGGGGCGCAGGATAGGAGTGCTACCATTTGCCTTTCCCAGACAACGCCCCAGCACTTGGCGCATGTACACTACTTATCTATCTATCTTCCCCTCCTCGGATATATATATGCACGTGGGTAGTGCGTGCTACGAGCCGGAGCACTGCCACCTTTCTATCATTTCAGACTCACTCATTAAGCCTGTTGCCGGCTTCACTCATGCGCGTCGTGCATACGTGCTCGGGTGTAAGCTCTCTGCGCTTCTTTGGCCCTCATCCTACCTTCTTCACGTGCGCGCGGATAATGTGTGCTGTATCCGCTGGCAAACCAAAGCTACACAAATCCAGCTTTTAGTTGTCGCTCCCCCCCACTCCCCCTCCTGCGTGAAACTGAGACCGAAAATCCCCCCGCCCGTGAAGTTTTAGTCTACCAGCAGCAGTAGGATGGATTCGTCGAGGTGTGGTTGGCTCTTGTGGGACGGAGCTGTAAATCTGCCGCGTTCGGCCTGCGGGGTGTTTACGCGGTATAGACTATCCTGTAAGCTCGTGGGCTTTGGTCCTGAAGTGGACACCCCGTAGGATGGTCCGCTGACCACACTGGACAGTTGGAACGCCCTATTGTAGAGCAAAGCTCTGACTCGAGTAGTCTATGACCTACTCCATCTGGAACGTATAGACTAGTCTAGTCTACACGGAGAAAAAAACTATTGGCCGGATTGTGTGTATCGCACAGTACACGCCGTGTTCGCGGTGTGTGGCGCACCTGTTTCATACCAGCGCGCAAAAATCGTAGTCCCACGCCATAGTTGAAGTACAGCGGCCTACCGAACGTGAAATGTTTGGTTAGCCGGGATGTCCAATCAACTAACGGCATATATATCTGGATTAGCACAGCAAACGCAAGGATGACGACCAGCGTCTGGTTCATCCTTGTGAAAGTTAGCCTGGGCCGGCGCATAACCGGCATATCGCTCTGTCGCGGCATCGTAGAGATCCGAGGTCAATGGTGTACGACTACGGCATCCGTTTCCATGTAGTACAGCCCCCGCACCCGCGTCTCCGCGCCCCTCTCGGACAGCCCATATTCTATCTCAGCATCTCCGCAGGATCCCCACAAATTCCTGCCAACGGGCATCTCGTCTCGTCCACAGCCATCACTCGATGCCACCGTCTGGTGCCGGTAGAGACCACGACATCTTCGCCATAACCGGGGATCCCTTTTCCAACCGGTTCTTGACCATCGTCGCGTCCATTTTCTGGATCACGAAACTGTTAATACTTGTAGGAGGTGCCGGAGCATCGTTTCGTTGCCATTTGAGTGCTTACTTTGCGACATGGCAAAAGCAACAACAACGCCACGGCGGCGGAGTCTAGACCCAGGGGGAGGAATTTCCTCGTGCGAGTTTTGACGTGGTGAAACCGTCACGATCAACGGGAATTAAGAGGCCAATTGCAGCGAATTCGACAGCATGCTGCGCGATATTTCCTCACGTTTTATCTCTCTCCGTATTACAATGATGTGCGTACTACGTGTGGATCTACTTTATCCACATACTTCATTCAGGGTCTTGTTCGAGTTAAGGGGCTATGGGTAAAGTAGCCACGCACCTTGGAATAGCGATGTCTGCGTCGGAGCCATCGTCTCCAACTCTTGGACCGAACTCTTCACAACGTAACTTGCCAGACATGGAGCAGATACCACTCACTGTATCACTGCACTGGCACATGCTGTCAGCAAATATTACACCGACTTCGCCCAGCTTTTGCGCCCATAGGATCTATGCCCACATAGTAGGTCAGCGCAAATACGCACAGGCAAACAAGATATCGAACCGCCGGAAAGTAGATGAGGGATAAACACGCAAGCCTTGCACCACATGTGCTCAAGAGCAGAGAGACGGAGGTGCGGTGGGGGAGCGAGGCTATCGGAAGGTGTTGATCACACATATACGCTCAAGAGGATGGAGACGGAGAGGGAGAGGGAGGGAGGGCTATAGAAGGGTATCACAAGCACGAAATTCTAGTTTATGCAGAAGCTTGAGAGAGAGAGAGAGAGAGAGAGAGAGAGAGAGAGAGAGAGAGAGAGAGAGAGAGAGAGAGAGA